TTTTAAATTTTTTTAGTTTTATTATTATCCCAAAACAGCGAATAGTACCTGGATAAGTACCTACTTAGTCCTCCATTTACTCTATCATCCGTTAACACTTATCGGAAAACAACTTTTAAAGCATAGATTTTTTGAACATATCAAACTTGCGTTCATGGGTTCATGGTCTCATAAAGTATTTTTTTTAAGGGGGGAATCTCATCGAATGGCTGCTCCCGCCTGGGTGAGGCGGGAGGGAGTGTCAGACTCTTACTGACTAAAAACCACCTCGAGCCGGAGCCCCGGTTACCCGTTAGGTTCTCCGCGACTTCTCATAAGTATTAAGCTCTTACAGCCCCGTACTCAAAGTTATTTAGTTGGTTACTTATCCCAGTCTTTAGCGATTGTTTTCGGAACAAAATGATTACTATAGAATAGTTCAAGTAATCATGAAGTGTTTCTGAGTACGGCAGTTAACTGTCTTTTACGTGTGCCATGGACTATGACCATATCATTCAATTAACTTTCGAATTAATTTTGCACGAGTACCGACCATGGAAATAAACTGTTCGTGCTATGCGACTGTTAGATATGTATTCTTATGATGTTCTTGTCATACTATACCATAAAAAATACCCAATTTGTGAAAGTAGATACTTCACTTAACTCACTTCACTGACACTCTTCTTAATGTACTTCAAGAAGTTGACCAAGTTAAATATAACATAAATTAAATATAACCAAATATATTTAATTTATGGGGTAGGCAGAAGTGCACATTACAGCCCTTAATGCCACTGTGCAATGTAACACCCACTTTTCACTATTTATATTATGAGTCCCATGTAATAGGGGGTGAGCCTATTGCCATATACCAGACTCTTGAGATTTTTTTAAAACCCAGTGATATTTATTCCGACTAGGGAATTTAATCCGAGACCCATTGCCGGCAGTTGCACTTGCGACCGAGTGGTCGAAAATAAAGCAGATCAGTAAAGCAATATAATAAAAATGAATAAATAATTGATTCCAGAGATGATTTACTATATTATCCGTTCCCTGAGTAATGAAGTGAACTAAAAATTCAATGTTTATTAATATTTCATTAGATCACAATAAATATTTGTGGTCAAATATGTGAATCAGACAGTTTGACGGTCCTGCCGGCATCCCCAAACAGATAACACTTTGATCTTTGACACCAATAACAATACGGGTGTCGAGCCTAACATAAACAGGCAGCCGCTCTGTGATAACAATAATTATGTTATTATCTCTTTGTTTCATTATGTCATTTCAAAGCTAATTGTGTTTAATTTAATTAGTCTTTGATAATTTATTAGTTTTACACTATGTGGTAAAACCTTCATTTCTCATTATCATTTAATTGGGTTATACGACTGACACACATACACACACGCACATAACTGTTCGGGATGTATCGACTAGTTTCAAGCCAAGCCTGGGGCCCATAAATATGAGAAGCAAGCATGTAAACTGGTCGAGTAACCTTATCGAAACGGTACAAACAGATTTGTAGGTTCAATACGTTGCAGTTGCTTACTTAATTGGCTCCGAAAGCTATTCACAGATATTTTATGAGTCCTACAATGGAGAACGCGAATGTTGACAAACAATCGAATCTATCATAACTCGTACTATTGTTGGAAATTCCATAAATTTTGTTTTCTTACAAGGAATGCTGGTCTGGTAGCATTCAAATCTACTTTTGTGCAACAATACCTCTATGAATAGAGTTTTAAATCTTATATATCATTATACATATAAAGCGGAAGGGTTTGTTTTTTTGTTTGTTTCTTTGCACGCGCTAATCTCCATAACTACAAGTCTGATTTAAATAATTATTTTGTGTTGGATAGCGCATTTATCGAGGATGGCTATAGGCTATAAAACATCCCTCTACGACCAATAGGAGCTGAGCAGAGCGTGTGAAACCGCGCGGAAGTAGCTAGTAAAACTATAATCCGGTAGCTATTGTTCAATTAGACCTACTTTTTTTTTGAGGGGGAAAAAATCATCCAATGACTTCTACCGCCCGGGTGAGGCGAGATGGAGTGTCAGACTCTTACTGACTAAAAACCACCCCGTCCGAGGGAGTGTCCTATTCTTGCACTTTGAGCCGGAGCCCCGGCAACCGGTTAAGTCCTATCAGCCCTATTGGACCCCATCCGTGGAAGTCTGATAGCTTTATGAATTAGACCTACTTATGTCTTAAAGATGTCCAGCTACCGGGATGGGTCACAGTATTTTCTAAATTTTCTATAATCGGTATACTAATTACATTACCCGAGCCGCTTGCCAAAAATGCGGATTATAGATCACAAGAGTGAGGTTCTTGCGCAGATTTGCAGTAGTGGACATGTGCGATTTTTGCCAGATCTAGGACCTCACTGACAATTACCCAATTTAGTTATCTATAGTCTTTATTCTTTCTTTAACCGACTTCAAAAAAGGAGGAGGTTCTTAACTGTTAATTTTCTTATTGTTACAGCCGACAGTTAGGATTCATATACGACTCGGTGACCAAAGGTATCACGGTGGAAGATATCGATCTGGACCAGGTCTGTCTCCTCACAGAAGCTCCTGATGCCCGGCGCCTTGTCACCGAGCTGACAGCATTGCGAAGCGAACGATACATTGTTGCTCCTCAAGGTCAGTCCCGCTTTATAGACAGTTGTAAACCTGCAGTGTATTAAAACAATGGTCATTTTATCGGAATATCTGAGTTGTAGGTGTGAAGAGGGGATATGCGTTCTTAGAACTATCGTTTTTTTTCGTCCGACTGAGCTTTAACTTGCTGCTTTTCATTTCCAACACTGATTTAATACTTATAGAATAGAATAATCTTTATTCTACACCATTTTGAGACAGTATAACAAGCTCCACAATTAAGGAATTAGGCTACAAAAGCGGCCTTATCGCTAAAAGCGATGTCTACCAGGCAACCTTTGGGTGGATAGAACATGAGGTAGTTATAGCTTGGTCTAATGAGGTGCTTATTTAAAGATATAATGATATGTAAAAGTAAAAATATTCAAAGTCAAATTTATTTACTTTTAACTCGTCGAGTACCGTCATTATAGAACAATAGGTTGCGGTCACCGGTGACCGCTTGGTATTTGACTGTTTAAACTGTCAAACACCAAGCGGTCACCGGTGACCGCAACCTATTGTTCTATAATTGTGTCTACGAAACCGGTACTCGACGAGTTAAATACACAATTATATGCATACATAGCTACCTACATAGAAACGTATGTCAATTTATCGGCTATGCTTGATATGAGGCTGCATATTTTTTATAGCACCTTGGTAGCAAGCAAGCTTACAGTCCGTCATTTTAAGAACATTACGTATTTCAACCTTTATCTATGTAATGAATCATTCATTATTTTAGTACAATCGTACCTGTATACCAAATAACTTGGATGCCTGTACATTCTAGATAATCAATTTAGTTATAACTAGCTTTTACCCGCGGCTTCGCTCGCGTCACAAAAGGATAAGTAGCCTATGTGACATATACCAATACACACAGCGCCATCTATACCAATACTTTCGTTTTCCCTCGGGAATATCAAATTTTTCCGGGATAAAAATTACTATATTATTTAATCCGGACTTCTAGCTTTACGACTGCAAAAATTCAAAACAATCGGTTTAGTAGTTACGGCGTGAAAAAAACAAACAAACTCACTTTCCAATTTATAATATTAGTAAGGATACCAATAGTAGGGGAGCCCACGATGCTAAATTGGGATTTACTTGAGCGTCCTTGGGACCTACTGGATTTTGAAGATATGCTGATAGAAAGAAGAAATGGTTTAGTGACAATTTCTTCCACCAGTGGGGGAAGGGGGAATCTACAGATCTTTGAAATTGTTAAGCGTAACTTTTGTTCTAGTGGTCGAGCGTGTCAGATATTGATAATGTACATGCTCCATGTGTATTTAATAATAAAAAACTCTTAATCTGCCAGTTTGCATGGTGGGGTTGAATGTTCTGGAGAGTACAAACGAGAACCCTTCAAAATCCCCCCACTCTTGCAAATCAAGTTGGAATGGGCAGATTTTTTAAACGCACTTCCTTTAGCACGGTATTGACCTACCTTCCCTTAATCTGACGAAACTGACTTTATTTAGTCAGACTTTTTTTTAAATTTTCAGTCCCCCCCTTCTGATCAGATCGGATATATGTTGGGTATATTCAACATGACACTAGGTTTTCCCCATATGTTAATCTGACGCGCTCGAGTAACTACCGAAATCACTTCATGGGCTCCCCTACTACAATACAGATCACTGCGTAATACTATACACATACATACGTCTGTTTATCTATTATCAGACTACCAACATAGTCAATAATGTTTGAATACCGTTAGCGACTATTTATAGCAAGCTGTTTCAATAGAAAGTATTGTATTATTATTATTTATTATTAACGT